GCACATTAAAATATTGAACTCCATTTTGAATCACTGCCCACTTGCATCTCCCAATACGGCTATGCTAAGGAGATCATCAGCTAGATCAAAGAAAAGAGAGAAATAGAAGGAGACAGAGGATTAACGAGCATATTGCAGAAGCTAACACAAAGAGAATGGCAACTAGAATTTAAGCATATATTTTGAGAAGGAAACTGATGCATAGATATGATGACAAAGATAATTTTCACTATCCAGTCTATCCTAGCAGTGGAGAATGTGGGAATCACCACCAAGTGACCTACTGCGATTATTTTAAAAAAAAGACAATATGGCTGTAAAAATTTCTATAACTTGAATCTCACCTCACCATAATGAAAGTCAGAGGCGAGAAATCTAAGGACTATAATTGGAATATGGAATGCAATGGGTAATGGCGAGGGAAGGAGAAGGCTGAAGGGAGAGAGATCGGAGGCCGCGATTGTAATGCTCCTACCATATGAAGACCGGTGGTGATGGCTAAGCTAAGCATAGATAGGATCTTGCGAGGATGAAAGGAGTCGTTGAGATTTAAGCTGCGCAATCCACAACTGCTAACGGCCAACTTGTAAGACTTAGGGCTTGACTACTTGAGAGTTCAGAAATGGCCAAATGGGAGTCTTCGAAAGTTTGGGATGCTGATGATGTGTGAGTGTGCGGCTGCGAGTCTGCGAGGGTGTGAATTACTGAGGTGGAGAGCTGAACTCTGGGCCTGTGGAAGTGGATTCCATGTGATGGACACTGGACAGATGGAGTCAATCAGTCAAAACAAAATAATAAGAGTGGGTAACTGGGTGGGTCGTGGGGAGATCGGGAGGCAGGAGAGAAATATTAAAAAAATAGTTCATTCAAATATTTTGGTTATTTCAGTATTAACCAAATTATTTTTTATGACACCGAACCGAACACCGATAACCAAAATAACCGAATAAAATAACTGAAAAAAATGAAAACCGAAATAACCGAATTGAGTTCGGTTCGGTTTAGTTTTCGGTTTCAATTCAGTTTTGCTCACCCCTAATCTTCCATCACCTTTACGCATTTGAATTGCCTCTATTGAGTGAGTTTCCTTTTCTTTCATTCTTTTCATTTTTTCTACGTTTCTTAGATGTTTTGACAATAAAAATCCATTGTATTTCAAATAGGTTGATTGGTTTTACATTTTGGATGTCTCGTATTATCTATTTTGAGTTTTTCATGTGCTTGAGGTGTTGGTTGGTGGCATTTGGAGTTAGAAAATCTCAATTTCTTCCTATACACGGCATTAGAAACATGTTTAAATATTCAAAGTTGATTAGTTTTTAAGTTTTTATTTTTTAATAGTTTTGATATTTTATTTCAAATTTTTGGTATATTCTTGTAATAAACTTGAGAATTTACTAATAAATAATCTATTTAGTTTTTTGTCATTTTTTTTGTTATGAACTTTGATTGATGGTAAAGTGTTATTTAAAATTTCATGGCAAATGAATATCATTTGTATTCCTGTTTTAGATTCATAAATTTTAGCTTTAAGAATCTTTATTCATTGAATTGGTTTGAGATTGAATTGTTACTTTTGTTTTGTTTGTTATATTTCTTCAAATTTATCCCGTTTTTGTTTATTACATTATTGGTTTGGTTGATTGATTGATTAATTTGTCTATTTTTTAAATAATTTGGGATTTGTTATATTTAAGGGGAAATTCTGTTGAATTTTTTATAAAATAAAAAAGACATTCTCTTTAATTTGTAATTAAATATTAGTCAATTTTAATTTATTAACTAACAATTAATTATTTTATGTATTTGAATATTTGAATTAAGGAGTTAGAATTGAGCTTGACAGTACAACTATGCTTATTAACCTTGTAGAACAATGGATCATAGTTAGATGAAAACTAAGAGAATTAGCAAAGAATATGAGGATGGGGTTGAAAGGCTTCTTGAATTTACTCGGAAAAATGCCCTTAATTAGTAAAAGAGATGGATTATATTGTTGTCCTTGTGTCAAATGCTTAAACAATAGTCGGCGAAGTATTCCTAAGATAAGAGAGCATCTTATCTATGATGGGATAAATTTGAGGTATACAAATTGGATATGGCATGGAGAAATTAGAAAGACTACACTGTTTGGAAAGAAGAAGGTTGTGAATGATGACTTTAGTGATAAAATTTCGGATATGTTTCGTGATATTGAGTCTTTTACACAGTTCTCTCCCATATGTGAAACCTTGTGTAGTGATGCAGAGACGTCTTTATACCCAGGGTGTAAAGATGATTACATAAGGTTGACAACCGTGTTGAAATTGATGAACTTGAAGGCAAGAAATGGTTGGACCGATGCTAGTTTCACGGAATTGCTTGAATTGTTCAGTGATATTCTTCCAAAAGGGAATTCACTTCCAAAATGAATGTATGAGACAGAAAATTTTGTGTCTGATGGGTTTGGAATATGAAAAGATCCATGCGTGCCCTAATGACTGTGTATTGTTCAGAAATGAGTATCAAGGGTTGAATAAGTGCCCTAAATGTGGGAGTTCAAGATACAAAGTTAAGAAGGGCGATGTTGATTATAGTGAGATAACCAAAGGTCCTCCTTTGAAGGTTCTGTATCTTCTAATAATACCACGATTTAAGCGTTTATTTGCTAATGCTACAAAAGTAAAGAAATTGAGTTAGCATTCTAACGAGAAAATATGTGATGGAAAACTTCGTCACCCAGTAGATTCTCTTCAATGGAAAGCAATAAATCAAAAATTTTCTCAATTTGGTAGTAAGCGAAGAAATCTTCGACTAGGGCTTTGTATGGACGAAATTAATCCATATGGTAATCTTAGTAGCATAAACAGTGCTTGGTCGGTGCTCCTCATAATTTACAACTTGCCTCCTTGGTTATGTATGAAAAGAAAGTATATCATGTTATCTTTGATGATCTCAGGGCCAAAACAGCCGAGAAACGGTATCGATGTGTATTTGGCACCTTTGATTGAGGACCTGAAGAAATTATGGGAGGAAGGTATTGATGTGTTTGATCTACCAATTCTACTTTAGTAGATCGAGGCAAGTGTGTTGTGAAAGCTGGGGTTTCATCAATGTTTAAACTTGACTCCTCATCCTTTACCCCCACTATTTTCCTTTTACCTTGGAGTATGATTGAGAACTATTTCCTTGAGGGATAAGTGATATAAAATATTTGTTTTACTTGACTTGCTAAAATAAAAGGCTCATCTTTATAAGCAATCCTATTGAGATCAACAGAGGTAAACCCAAGTTAAGGATCTATTTGAATAGCATTATTATTAAACCACTTGCATTTAAAGATAGGAACTTTGAACGTTCCATAGCTTATATTCCATATCTCTTCAATAATTCCATAATACGACATAGATGGTAATGTAGGATTCTTATCCTTTGAACTAGAAAAATGCATCGCTTTTGCTACAACCATAACTCTACTATTTTGCATAGTACTATTATCATTTTGGACTTTGGTGTAGAATGAGTACCCATTTATGTCATATCCATCCCAAGTTACAACCTCAAAATAGGGCCCTAGAGCTAATCTGTGTATTGTGTCAGAAGTACAAACACTGTCATCCAAAACCTCTTACTTGAACCAATCTATAAATATCTTATTGTATTCATTAGCTAAATGCATATTATTCTTTTGAGGGAACTTGTGCTTTAACATATTTTTGTGAGCCAAAGGTATTTTCACTTAGCTAATTAGTGATAATTATAATTAGGAGCGCGCAAAAAACTCAGTGGTCTAATAATTTAGTCCAATCTAACCTAAGGTGGTCCTGTTCAATCCAAATTAGACCGGACTAGACCAATAGATTGGTTGGTCAAGCGAGACCGGCATCTAAACCAAGTGATCAAAACACTTAGACTAGTCTGATTTGATTTGAGTGAATTTTTTTAATAATTTGTAACATAAATAATATTTTTTATTGTTTTTGATGTTGTTAGAGATTCTTTTGTATTCATAATTAAGTTTTAATTTTTTTAGTATGAGTTTTATATGATTATATGTATTTTTTATTGTCTTCATTATATTTAGGTTAAAGTGTACATTTAGTTCTTTAACTTCGGGTAAGGTTTCAGTTTAGTCCTTTAACTTTAAAAAGTATACTTTGGTTCTTTAACTCCAAAATTGTTAGTCTTAAATGATGATTTTTTGTAACAATCATGGTTGTTTTGAATATTAGACTTAATATGTTATCATTTCATAATGTTTTGTCAGCATTCAAGAGCTCAATATTATCATTTTTTATTAACAGTTTTAGGGTTAAAAAACTAAAAATTTACTTTTTAAAGTTAAGGGATCAAAATAAAACTTTATGTAAAGTTAAAGAACTAAAAATATACTTTAGTCTTATACTTATCATGTTGAAATCTTGCTTCCCATAAAAGAATTTTAAAAAATTAATGTCCTAGACGAAGAGTTTGTGTGTTGTGCAGCCCTAATTATGATATCACTAGTATACATAAGTTTCAATTAGCACATTTTGACATACATAATATCTTTTCCTACAAATATGGTATAATTTTCACCCAATATTAGCATGCAAAAGAAAGAGATCTTAATTCATGATAACAATTTAGGAAATGAGCATCACCAATATAGTTAGTATTGGTAAATAGATTGTGTAGTTGCAAATTTACAAAAGCATTTAGTGTGATAACTTCACGATACGTAGATTTCAGTTAGGTAGTGTCATTAGATAAAATGCAATCAATAGCAAAGAGATATGAATCAAAACAAATCAAAGAAGACAATCAGCTTTGTCCTTTTTAAAAATGTTTTCTTAGAAAAAAATGAAAAGATCAAACCTATATGTTAAGAATTAATGCCTTAGTGGGTGGGCTAAACCCTAGAAATTCAATTTCTCCCACATGGTTACAGTGAAAAAATCAAAGGGAAAAAGCTTTTGAAGGCTTCCCAAATGTTATATGGTTCACCAAGTAAGAGACGACTAGTTTAGTTGTTTGTCATCTTAGTCGGTCTCCTTGACCGAATGAATTTTCTCAATAGCTTCTTTAAGATCTAATCTCTTGTCGACATCCCCTTCACAACAATCCAAAGCAATCTTTAATAGTTTGGCCATTTGGACTTGACTGGCTGAGGTGTCTCCCATTTCTCTGTCAAACACCTCACTATTCCACTCTTCTGGGACAACAGAATGCACCCAATTAGCCAAGCCCACTTCACTTCCTTTGCCTTGTTGTAGAAAGCTGGAAGGGAACTTGCCAGTTAAAAGCTCAAGAATGAGTATTCCAAGACTCCATACATCAGTTTTCTTAGTGACCCTCCCATTTTGGAGATACTCTGGAGATTTGTATATCACCATGGTGTCCTGAGCAAGCTCCTGGTTTATCACAGGGACCAACCCATAGTCATTAAGCAGGGGCTCAAAGGATTCCCCCAGGAGCACGTTTGAGGATTTTAAATGGCCGTGGGGTGCTATCAGGCTTGGCATCTCCTTGTACAGATATTCTAGACCTTTTGATATGCCCTTAACGATCTTTAACCTTGTTGGCCAGTCTAAGCATGGTTGCCCTAGCCCTTGGTGTCCTGATCAAACAAAGAAGTCATACGATTAATCACATACACATGCACGCGCCCACACAGAGACACACCCACACAAACATACCATGGAGGCGAACGGCCAAGCTGCCATGCTTGACATAGTCAGTAACCAAAAGCTTCTCCTCCTTTCGATAATAGTAAGCCACCAGAGGGAGCAAGTTAGGATGCGATAGCCTTCCAATCCTTCTCATGTGCTCGTGGAACTCATCCCTTCCCACATTGTTCATTTGCTTGAATCTCTTGACCACAATCATTGCACCACTAGACAAAGCAGCTTTATAGGAGGAACTGAAGCAACCACTCCCTAATACCTCTGCTGATGCTTTCAACAATTCCTGTAAATCAAACCTCTCTCTATCGTCTCTCACAAACGACAACTTCAGGTTATCTGCTGCTCTTTTGCCAGACCTAGTAGAGGCTTGTGATGATACTGAGTGATGACTACTCCCATCGTCTACTTCATTGCTTCCTGCTTTGTTTTGAGAGCCTGATGTTGTTGGATTCTCCACTGTCCCTCTTGCTTTGTTTTTCTTCCAAGGACCATCAACATTACTCCTATTATCACAATCACTGCCACTCCTACGACTATGGCTACCACCACAATGCTCCCGATTGAGGCGCCTTGCTTTGAGCTGGACGATTTGCATGCACCCAATGGGGCTCCACATAGCCCCTCATTACCTGTTTATTTTTGCCACATGCAGTCTCGTAAATTTTAATTCATCTTCACCGTACAGTAAATTTGTTATGTTTAACTACTATTCATATGTGGGAATCCCCCCTAAACAACCCCGTCATAGTACAAGCATGTAATACTCAGTTTTCATCCCCGCTTAGGACCAAATCCTTAGAAAACTTAATATTACGGATGGGGATACTTTAAGCTGGGCTACCTCTCAGTTTTTGTCGGGGCTGGGGGTTGGGGAATGGGGGCTGGGCTACCGCTCAAGTGATATATATATATATAGTGCAAGCGTTAATGTCTTTGGAGTTCTTTTTTCACTTCTGTGGATTAAGAAGTCTTTAATTAATAAGGTGATTGGATAATTTAATATGTACTTTACTAAAAGGCATTGATAATAATAATGATAAGGCAATATTAATGAGGTCTTTTTATCAATATCAATTGCATCATTCACAAAATTTGTGTCATTTGATTGACCACTGTTTGGGATATAATGCTAATGGAAAGGAATATGTTATATATAACTACGTCTTTCCAATTTTTAACTAGTGGGCTGATTTAAATAGATGATAATGAATAAACTCTTTTTGTTTTATGGTTTTTCATCTTACATGATAAGCTAGTAAGAACATCCTCCCAAATAAATGATGGTGATGATTTTATTATTAAAATTATTTAAAATATCTATGACTTTTTTTCGATAAGAAAATATCTATGACTTTTTGGGCACTATCTAAAATACTTGCTACTAGATATTAAATAATTAAAATATTCATCAAAAGACAAAAAATAAATAATAACGTTAAGGTGAAAGGACACAATGCAAGGAAAGGAGAATAGGGGACTAATGTTTTATTTATTTCAAAATAATTTATCTTAACCTCTCGATTTATAAGGAGGTGGGAAAAATCTCTAAATAAGTATACTCCTCCGATCCTTAATATAAGACCTATTTAACTAATTTGATTATATTAAGGAAGTTAGGTAAGTTAGTTAATTATAAGAAATATGACATGTTTTTCCTAAAATACTATAATCATTTTTCTTAATATCTTCTCTCTTTCTTCTATTTGATTATGTTGGAGAGTATCCATAAGAGTAATTTAAAAAAATTGATAAATATAAAAAAATAGGTCTTATATTTAGGAATAAAACTAACTTAACAATTAGGTCCTATATTAAGGACCGGAGGAGTAGCTTAAGCCTTTTAACCATTTCACTTCCTTGGATTTCATTGTAGAAAAAGTCCCTAATTACTGCATAATAGTTATTTGTTTATTTTTTATATTATGGTACATTGGTACAAATAGATTTTCTCTTTCTTTAATTTCTGGTTCCTCCGTGGGGAAAAAACTAAAGGCATCTTTACTGAAGGCTCAGTGACTTGCAAAGATCATTTCTTCTTTTATTGACAAATTAATTTAAAACATTTATTTCTTTAAACAAGTTTAGCTGTATGTCTAAAAAAATGTTTATTTGTTCAACAATACATTGAAACAAATGAAAGTATTTTGATTTGACACCTTTATAACTAATTAAATTTCAAATAACGTCAGATACGTTTTAGTTATTGGAAATGCTTAATTATATTTTCTAACTTGATATTTTTAATATGCACAAATATCCATAACACTTAAATGATTCAACTTCAGCCTATCTAACATAACATTATAAGGTCTATTATAAAAAAAACTCAAGAAGAGCTAATTTCTCCTAGTACGTATGGCTTTGATTTTTTTTTTTTTCTTCTGAATTTTTCTCATATATTTTCCATTTGGAAAAGAGATAATGTTATCTAATTTGTTTTATTTTTGAATATATATATATATATATATATCATATCGTTAAATACATTGATCCCTTCAATCCTTTTCATAAAATCCTTTTAATTGAGTTACATATAGTTTAAAAAAGAGTTAAAATTGGTTAAAAGCAATAGATATGCAAAACTTGAATCTTTTTTTTTTTAAAGTATGTCCTTATCTACCAAGAGAAAAGATAAGAAAAAAAATACTAGCAATAAGATAAAAAATAAGAGGAAATATAGTATAAGAAAAAGATAATATATAAGAGATAATAAAAGAATATTTAGGAGCTAAATTGTATGATCTTATAAAATGGACCAGATCAATTCAAATTTTGGGGTTTTATAAAAGAAAAACATAAAGGACTATTGTCTTTACAAAACAGAAAAAAAAAACACACCACGTGCGAAAACTACTTGTATTAGAAATCAATTACTTATATTTGAAATACAATTTGAAAAGTTACATAACCATGTGTTAGAATTCTTTATTCAAGGACAACACAAATAAATGAGAGGGATAAAAAAAAAACACACACACACACACACACAACTAGTTATCAGGAGGATGCAAGTGCTATTCACGGGGAAAATGAGCAAGGATGACATCAAGAAATAAATTTCTCTTGTACGGAAAAAGGGAAATCAAAGAAGAGAAAAAGAAAACCCACAAGTAGACTCTGCAGAAATACAAAAAACAGGCTATGTCTACATCTCGAGCATGTGGATCAATGCCATCGTATAGTTAAATCGACACTATATAATTAACCTCACCTCTTCTAATATAGAAGACGATCGAATTGAGATATCTTAATAAAATGAATGTGAGGTGTCTTACCAGAAAAAGAAGAGGCTGGCATTTTACTGAGGCTGATTGGAATTGCACCCTCCAACTGATTGTTAGCTATGTTAAATGAGCTTAAGGTAGGTTGATTAAAGTCTGGAATGTGGCCTTGGAACTTGTTGTTCTCGAGCCTCAACTCCCTAAGCTTAGGTAATAAAGACAGTGAAATTGGGATAGGACCAGTAAACTGATTGTTTGACAAATGAATTTTCTTGAGCCACACCATACGTTGAAAGGCATCATCAGGAATGATGCCTGAAAACTTGTTATCGGAAAGGTAGAGGGTCTTGAGGGCAACAAGCTTGTGGAATTCAGGCCAAGAGGTGGAATCAAAATCGTTGCCCATTAGGCTTATGGTTCGGAGATCTGGGAGGCCTCGAAGGGGTTCCACATTGATGACCCCCTTGAGCCCCATTTTCTCAAGTTTCAAACCCCAAACTTTGCCGTCGGCACAAAGAAGGCCAACCCAATTGGCTTTGGCACCAACACAAGGAGGGGAGGATTGGTTCCAACTGGATAGTGCATTGTTGTTCTCTAGGGAGTCCCTAAACTTGAGGAGCCCTTCCGAGACAGAATCCCCAGAGGAAGAGGGAACAACATATACAAGAAGAAGGAATAGAATTATCGGCAACCAAGGATAACGAAGTGCCATTGTTAAGGGTTGGCGCACACACGCCCTAGGGAGCAGCGTGCGCACCCTCAACCTCAAGAAAGGGCCTGATTTGCAATACAAAACAGGTGCTGCAGGGGGGTGAAGAGGCCTTGGATAGAGTGCAAAGGAATTTTGATAAGATTCGAGCACCAGGAGGAGGAACACGAGGAAGATGAGGAGCAACTAAGAATAGGAAAAGGAGGCCGGCAGAATTCCTAACCATGTTGACCAAGTCCTTTTTTCGTTTTTCCTTCAACATGAGACAAATCCGCCCAACCTTTGAAAGATCTACCCCACATCATGCCACGCGATTTCCCTATTTTTGAAATGAATTGAAAGCACACTACTTTAATATCGAAACATTCCTTCTCTCCACAATTTTGCCACTCACGATCTTACTAAATCCAAACTTTTGCAACTAATAATGTTATTGAACCACTCAGATCTTTATAACGTTTTTTATTAGTTTCACGCTTATTAATTCTTCCAACTATTTATCCATCTATTTATTTGTTATAGGTGATAATATACCAGTTCATGTTTTTAAAATAAAATTATTTTTTAAATAAGATATATCAAAACATGTTTGCCGTTATGTTTTTTGTTTGGTAAAATAAGATGATATGAATTTCTCTTGAGAACGCAAGAAATACAACATAAAACAAACTTGAAAATAATAAAATTTAATCAGCTAAAATCTTAGAGGAACTTATCTCTAAATATTTAGCTATATAAAAGCTCCATAAATAGTTCATTAGACTCTTGCAAGCTAACCGTATTCTATTACAAATACCAAAACACATAAATACTTGTCAAAGAAAATTCTCACTCATCTTTATAGCTTGATAACATGATTACTTCTCATAACTGAATAATGACTCATTAAATAGATAAGATCCCTTCTTTTTGAGCTTATACGGAGAATAACACCACAGAAGCTTGGCACTCCTTTTAACACATTTCTCTACCTGAGCCACTGACAGCAAAATATAAACATCTAGTACTTCCATAAACACTAAACTTGAATGTAACATAATAGACTTCCTCTTGCAATCTAGGGTGGAACCACTTGCTTCTAACCAATCCATACCCACTATCAGGTCTATGCTTGTCAGGGGCCAGCAGATCAATTTAATGGTCTTTTCTCAACCTTCAAACATAAGTGTCAAGGACCTTGCAGCAGTCTCCTCTTTCTTCTTCCCATGGATTCCATCAAATTTTTTAGAGCTCAAGTTTCTAAGCCGATAAGTTTCATACTTTTAACCTCTCATGATCACAAAACTTTCTACACAACCTCTATTTTACACGACTAGAGCTTCTTAATGGAATAAATATTTTAAGGGACAAAGCAAGTTTAGAAGTTTGGATTTAGAAAAAAGATTGAGTTTTAACTATCAGAATTTGAAAGATTATCGTAGAGGTAACTGAGTAAATTTAATTCGTTTAGTGTATTGATTTAGTGTCAAACCCTTGTATAAGCACTATGAGATAAATCCTAAGACACATTTAGGAACCTTAGAGGGTAAGTTAAAAGTTTTTATTTTGTAAATAGCTTACTCTAATAATAAAGAGGCGCAAATATAGAAAAAGGAGGTCAGTTGGTGTACATGCGAGGGCAAACATGACAGATGGTTTTCTTCTCTAAATCTTCTCATGTGTGGAGAGAAAATTTGGAGGGAAAAAAGGTCTCACACCATATTTCTTCAACTTTTATTTCTTCTCACTTTTCCTCTCTAATAGAAAACTTACTTTCTCCTTTATTTTTTTGTGGTTTTCTTTCCTTTGTAATCTTTTCTTCAGGTTAATCTTTCTCAAAAAAAATTTGTGGTTTTTTTCAATTGAATTCTTACAATGTTTTTCAATGCTAATATGCAATTAAGTTGTCACACAATATAAAATTTAAAAAAAATTTAGAAACAAAATTGATTTGTATCAACCTAAAAATAAAAAATTATTATGCTAAAAATATCACCTCTATGCATAACCTCCTTCCAATGTGCTACTCAATTTGTGAGTTTTAATTCCTTTCCAACAACCATGATAATCAGCCTGATTAGTCATATAGGAGAGGACATTTTGAAGAGCAAAAATAGATGTGGAGATAATTTATCCCCTTGACGCCGAGATAACAAATCCCTCGACGCAGAGTTGGACATTGACTTGATAAATAACTATTGAAATGCATTGCATGCATGGTCAAATGAATCCAACTTTCTGAATTAAGGAGATATGCTAAGAGACCTTATCATAAGCCTTATCAATTCGTAGGAAAAGCCATCTTCTCCATCCCTTTCTGAAGGAACTGCTAAAAGGCCTTATCATAAGTCTTTGCAATGTCAAGCTTAAAGGCACACCAACTAGTCTTTGCCCTCCTTGTTCCCTGAATCTTTGCCATACATTCTGAAGCTAAAAATAATACTATCAGCAATAAGCCTTCCCTTAAAAAAGCATTCTGATTCGGGGTTATAAGATCTTGCAAAACTTTCTTTAATCTATCACACAACACTTTAGAAATGATTTTGTAAACGACATTTTGCATTTTGGAATCAAGACAATGAAAAACCGATTAATTAAGAGCTTTGAGAAGAAAACCCTGTTGAAACACCTGAAAAAGCAAAACCTTACTTTTATCAACAAATTGTATTCAGTTTAATAATTATGAAACAATCAATTTCCTATCCTTACTTTTATTATTGAAAAAATTATCTAATTAATCTTAAAAATTTATATTAAAACATTTCAAAATTATAATATTTTAATGAGTAGTGTTATTAATAACTTTTATACTAGATCTAATATCATTATTTAAGAAGTTGATCAAAAAAATTTAAAAGTTACAATTTAAAATATTTTTTAAATTATGATTTTTATGAAAAACTACAAGTAAGTCCTATAAAATCATGTCATAAAATTTAGTCACAGGAAATAATTATGTTTGGCGGCATTTATTAGGTTTTGTTTTAAATATTTTTTAATTTAAATGTATATTTTGAACTAAAAATTAATATGTTAATAGCATTTAAATGTTGATTTATCATTTTAAAATCGTTGAATTAGTATTTTCCGAAGTTACCAATGTTAAGTATAATACATTTAAAACACAATTTTTTTTTTAACTTATCATGACCAAATAAAAATTACTACCTCTGATATTTAATATAAGAGCTAGTTTAACTTTTAATTTAGTTTTAAATATAAGATCTCAATTCACTTTGTTTCTCATATTTATCTAATTTTTTAAAGCTGGTCCTTATAAAAGTTGCACATGTTAAATATTTTATTAACTGAAAATGTTAACTAATACACATTATTAGCAAGGGTATTTTAGGGGAAAAAACATCTTCTTATTACAAATAACTAACTTAACTAATTTTTTTTAATTTACTTAAATTAATTAATTAGTTCTTATATTAATAACTGAAGTATTAAAGCAAACCTAAAAATGAAAAGCAGCCTGTTAGGATAAAACAAGATGGCAACGCGGCCTTGTTTGGACGGTTAAATTAATTGGACGGTTGGATGACATTTGGCAGTTATCGTTCAAAATGAATCTGGCAATTATTTCACATTATTTCCATTTAAATTATTTTAATTGAGTTGTTTATTTACATTTTAGAATTAGAAGTTATTTGAAAAAATATTTTAAATTTAAAGTTATCGATAGTTGTTTATTTTAAAGATATTTATTGTTTGCTCCCATTTAACTCTTATTCGCATTCTCCTATTTCTTATGTAGTAGGTTATTATTCAATAATTTTAAATGAAAAATAGATAGGCATTATTTTTCTATTTTGCAAAAGTCAAAATTTTATGCAGACCTCTTCTATTTATACGCGTTCTTCATCCTATGATGCATTTTTTCCTTATTACTGAAAAAAAATATCTCATTTTATTATTTCTTATTTAATGGTATTGTTGTACGTCTTAAACTTGTATATCTAAAATTATTCATATTTGAATTGCATGAAATAACCTCATTGATCCTGAAAATCATGGGATGTACAACAGCCGTGATATATTTTTAAAATTTGAAACCTCATTGATCCTGAAAATCATGGGATGTATATTGTGGTGTTAATAAATATTTTAAATTTCAAATCAAATAATATAAAAATAATATAACTTCCCAATTCTATTAACCAATTAATTTTTTTATTTATTCAGTTTCAACAATTTAAGAAGATATTTAGTTTCTCTTTCATACCTTCCTATTGTTATTTATTGGTTGCTTCTTCAATAATTTTAAATTAAAAAAATAAGTGCGAGCACTTTCTTACAAATGAGAAATGGCCCATTTTATCATTTCTTAGTTAATAGAATGGTTTTGGATTTCAGGTTTTTAAAATTGAAGTATCTAAAATATTTAATTTTAAAAAGCATTATATATATCATCAGTCAAATAATACTCCAAGTTGAAAAATATAACTGTCTAAAATATAACCGGCAACTTTAGAAACAATAATTTTGCATTAGTGTTATTTTAATTATAGTAATAATATTTACTTAGAAATTTAAAAAATAGAATGAGTGTCCCAAATGAGAAAATTACACACAGGTCCCACAACGTTATATATATCATCAGCTAATACATATGATGCGGACAATGAACTGTTTTTATTAGCATATACATGGTACAGTTAGTGGGGAGACATATGATAATTGGACTTGGTTTCTCCAGAATGTGAAAGACATCACAAGATCAGTGGAGACAACGATAGTTTCATATCGGAATAATCCCATTATAGGTGCTATGCAGATAGTATTTAGTGGCAAGAGACATGCTTTTTACTACAGGCATGTAAAAGAAAATTTTAGTGCACATTATTTAAAAATTAACCGAGACAGGGGACGAGTTTCAGGTACTTCGAAGGAGGTCGCATTGAAAATGCTGGGTGGAATCGCCTACGTAAGGATTGAGGATGAATACGTTGCCGCAATAGGAAAACTTAGATAATTTTGTCCACAATTAGCTGATTAGGTTGAGACTCAAGGAGATGTAA